GTTGTTGTTTTTGTTCTTGTTCTTGTTCTTGTTATTGTTATTGTTCGTGTTCTTGTTCTTGTTCTTGTTCTTGTTCTTGTTGTTGTTGTTGTTGTTGTTGTTCTTGTTCTTGTTCTTGTTCTTGTTCTGGTTGTTGCTGTTGCTGTTGCTGGTGCTGGTGCTGGTGCTGGTGCTGGTGCTGGTGCTGTTGCTGTTGCTGTTGCTGTTGCTGTTGCTGTTGCTGTTGCTGTTGCCGCTGCTGCTGCTGCTGCTGCTGTTGTTGTTGTTGCTGCTGTTGTACCTGTGCCTGTACCGTTATTGAGAACCCTGTGACGTGTAGGGGGTCTTGAGGAGTCACGACTTGAAACAGGGAGCTCCGGTGCTGCAGTTCGAGCAACCTAAGCACGGAGCCTTGCTATGTCACAAGAATCCGGCAAGATGCGCCCGCAACACACTCCCAAGCCTATTCAACTACTTGAATCTATAGACGTGCGTTGCTTCACGACCAGAGCCCTTTGGATGGATTCTCGAAGCATCTTCGAAGAGCCCGAGCCCTTAAACATTGCCTGCCGTCTCTGCGGCCCTTCAAAGCCTCAATGACCCAAGGTCTCAGGTTGCACGCTTCACGCCCTATCCCCACTAAGTTTTCGGGCTTTTCAGGGAGTCTCAGGTGATGATGGCCCACCCAGACGCTTGGGGCTTCCCTGATATCAGCCGGGTTGTGGCCGCAAATCCGGGCGAGCCGGTGAACCCTTTCCATGGCTGGTGCCTGGGATTTGATTGCCACATTGTCTGCTTTGTACAGAGACTTGAAGGACCAGTACGAGCTTTCCCCTGTAGTCCCTGTCCCTATGCCTATATGCACGTTACATCAAGACATCATATTGCATCCCATACCCTATTCTGATTATCAAGGCCCTATCGTATCGAGTTCAGAGCATTGGTTGCAAGCTTTGAGGTTTCTGAGCTTGTGCGTGACAGGGGCAGTGGCGTCTGGAGATGTAGAGAAACGCAGAAGTCAGGATTTCGGTGTGGGGATCTCGCAGTATGTCTGACTTTCGGGCTAGGGTGGCTAGGGTTTAGGACTGCCGATCCTGAAACGCCTACTTCCCAACCTACCAAAAACCACGAGATCTGAAACCATCCCAAGCCCTTCTCTCAAGGTATGCTCAGCACTCCATCAATCCAGAGGCAGAGTTGGAGGATGTGGAGCCGCTTTCCCCAAGTGCCAAGAGGTGGTGTTCTTCCCTGAATCGCCTGAATCCCTCAAGCAACCACGGGTTCTCAAAGCACACGGCTCCCGAGGCTTTGAATTACGAATCCGCGCCAAAGCTAGTGTTATATGAAGGATCGAAAGTGTGCCTGTCAGTGTGCTGTCGTATCTGAACCCTGAACCCCAAACCCTAAGACCTGGAAACCCTATTGTTGCTGTGATCCTTGGCAGAGAGCCTAAGGCCTCAACTGAAAGCCAGAAGCCTCCTCAACCCGAAACTGCGAACACGCCGTCAACCTAGATCCCAATCTCTAAAAACCCTTTCAAACAAACTCATAAACTTCTCCGGCACCGGACTCTTAAGACACCCCAAATGCTCAGAAAACCCTCAACTGGCTCCCAAGCTCTGCTATCCTCCCTAAACCCTATAAACCCTGAGCCGGGGCTGGTCAAGGTTTCGCTACACCTTGCGGTTGCGGAGCTTCCCAGAGACGACCTTCCAGGTGCCGGATGACCAGGGGTCTGAACAAATGATATTCGTATCCCTTTGTGGTCCCGCATATGTTGATAGTAGAACGGACCACCCCAAAAAACTACATATATATTTCTATTATATATATATACTGAGAAAATATTAATAACAATAATAAGCAAACTATTCGGATGATTACAGCTCTTTGAACATCGCCTGGTGTTTTGTGGTTGCTGAGTTGTGGTCTGCGTGACTTCTTGGATGCGACAGGGGAGTTGGGGGGGGGGGTCTCTAAAGCCTGGAAGCAAGCCCGGCGACCTCGATGCTCCAAGGAAGACTGTACAAAATACTCGCAAGTTGGTTTCGGAGAGTTGGGATCGTTGGGGCCGGGGTTTCCGTTTCGAGGTGAGGTTGAGAGCAAAGCCACAAGTTGAAGAGCTTAGCTTTGGCTCTTCGGAGTTCTACAGCACGTCGGACTCGGGCCTCAGGCAGAGATGTTCTTGCTCCCTTTGTGTTAAACAGTGCTTAAGGCAAAGATCGCTTGACATTCTTCACTGGCCCAGCCCCCGACCGGCAAAAAACCCTTAAACCCCTAAACCCTAAAGCCCTAAACCCCCAAAGCCCACAACCCAAAACCCCCAAAACCCTAAACCCTAAACCCCTAAACCCTATATAGCTTGAGATCAGGCGCTGGCTTTGGGGAAGGTCCCGGAGTGGATCAAGCCTTACCTGGCGCTGCACGCGGAGGCTTCGGATGTGTCGGCTTTAATGATCCATATACTGTAGATACCCCTAACCCTCCAGGTACCTGCTATACAGGGCTGTAGGGGCTCTAGCACCCTATACAGTAGGTACCTGGGGCGGTTAGGATAACCGAATGATCAGAAAGACTCTTATTCCTTTCGCTATACGTGTATATTGGATATACCCTGGACCTTGTTGCAATCTGACGGCCTCGGTACATGTATGAATGTACGTATGTATATGTATATGTATATGTATATGTGTATGTATATGTATATGTATATGTATATGTATATGTATATGTATATGTATATGTATATGTATATATATATACGTACATATGCATATATATATATGTATACACACACAGAGATACTGGCGCTTAATTCATCGCCAACCTTTTTGCTTGCTTCAAAAATGCATATTGTCACCTTCGATTCGGAGGTGAAAGAAAGCATCCTTGGGGAGAGCTCAAGGTTTCCGCAGGCTTGAGGTTGAACAAGCCTAACCCAGTTTCGGATCAGACAAGCATGTAGAACCAGAGTATGGTACCGGAGATCCTTCCCGAAATGGGCATCAGAGCGAAGCATCCCATACTAAGCTGTCCTCCATGCCTCCTCCTCCTGCTTCTTCGCCTCCTCCTCCCACAGCCCTCACAACGATGTGAGTTTCTGCTGCCAGAAGTAGGCTTGTCATTCTTGCTGTTGTTGCCTTGCCCGCGATTCTGGTCAAGCTGTTTTCTTCTACAGCACGCTTGCCTACGTTGACTTGCCACAGCCTTTTCGCAAATGTTACTTCATGTATCACGGGCTCTATACAAGGCTTGGTGCTGTACTGGCCGTCCTCAGGGGTTCGGACAAGTGCCCCCCTATCGAGATGCGCACTACCATGCACTCTAAACCCTAAACCCCTAAACCCTAAACCCCTCTAAATAAAATCCTAAACCCTAAACCCCTAAACCCAGGCCGAAGCTCCGGATGATTTAGCCATTTCGGAGGATGAAGAGGCGCGGGTGGGGGGCTTTCGGGCTTCGGGGCCTTTGGCCGCCGAAGTTCATCGACCCCGTGGGTTGGTAACACTTTCAGCCCTTCAACCTACATGGGCTTGTTAGGGTCGGGATAATGGTTCTAGTAGTTTTTGTTTGCAAGATTTGGGGATTTAGTGGACAAGCTGAATCTTTATGTCGCTGACACTTTGCTTTAGGTCTGGATGCACTATCAGAATCCCTTGCGGCCGTACCGTTTGCTCGCGGTCCCGCCAAGCCACTTCAAATGAACGCGCCGTCAACGCCGCCACTGCATACCACGTGGTAGCAGTACCAGGAATACTCAGAGCATCATGCATCGTTCTCGATTTCGTGACACCTACAACGACTGTAGCAGTGGTTGTCGTCGCCATCGTTTGCGTCAAGATCATCAGCATCGCCCATCCTCGGCATCCGCACCATTGCCGTTCGCCATACTAGTCAGAAGATGTGTAATCAGCTCATGGCAGATGAGAACAAGGACCTCGACTTATTGCGGAGCATCGAGCCATCTAGCGAACTTCAGAAATTCAGGCAGTCCGAGCTCCGAAGCGAATAAGCTTTCTGAAGGCTGGTCCTGCCGATGCTGGCAAAGCGATTGAGCTGGAGAACAACCTCATGATGGAGGTCGTGTTAGGGGTTCCGTGCCCCTGAGTTTTATTCTCCAGGGTGCTTGCATCGACAGAGGGTGTTAATTATAGCAGCTGCAGATCTCTGCAGCTTGCTGATGGTCTGGTTGCAAGAGGTTTTCTCACGCTTCTTAGCCTTACACGCTCAGCGTTGTCGGAGCTTCTACTCCCAGAGCCGAGACCCCGCAGCTTGCTTCGTCCAGGCGGGCCTGGAGGATGGTGACAACCTCTACGTGAAGCTGGACGAGCTGACGCTGAGTCTGAGAAAGAGGGGGGTAATCGGATCCGGCAGATAGGTGGCCCTCCAGCCTGAAGGGGAGATTAGAGAGACGTTGTGCACAGATTGATGACAGTATCCAGAATCGTGTCGTTGTTTGTTGAAGGTGCTTGAGAACGGTAACAAACAAGAGAGAGCAGCGTTGGTGTTTGCTGTCGGCGCTTCAGAGGATAACCGCAACCTGTCAATCCCCCAAGTCTTCACTCGAAAGCCCTACAATGATCCAACAAGCTCGCTGCCTGCTCATGGTTTTAGTGCTTAGGGCTGAGGGTTACCTAGGATTTAAAGCCGAGCTCAAAATCACTAAACCTAAAAAATCCAGCTGCTTCTGGTTGCCGAAAACCGATTTCCCTAAACTTAAGAAGTTGCCTAAAACCGATCGCTACACCCCTAAACTAAAAACTCAGCTGATTCTGGATTACCTCAAGCCGAATCCTACACCATCCCAAACCCTATGTAAACTGAAAAAGCACAGCTGCTTCTTAGGAAACTAGCTCGGGAGCGCACGACGGGGCCCGATGTGCTGGACGCCGACTTGCGAGCGTACCGGTTGAAAGGCACAACACTTAGGGGGTGTAGGGTTTAGGGATTTTGGGGTTTAGGGTCTAGGGGTTGTGCTGACTTTATCTCCGTTATAGAAATATGGGGTTTCAAGGTCCACTCTGGGGTTTCAGGGGGTTGCTGCGTACAGGCTTTGTGTAAAGGGTATATTGCCGGGTTGAGGCTTCGCAGCGTTTGCGATGTCAGAGGGGCGGAGAAGAGGCAGTCTCAAACGCTTGGCAGTTGAGCAGAGTTTCAGAAGGTTCAGCAGGGTGTCTGTGGATAGGGTTTGGGGTCCACTGGGCTACCGCAATGAAGCTGTGATGGTTCCTGTTCTTTTGCTGCATGTTTGGTCAGCAGTGGTTTCTGTTGCTGCCACACACCGTCAATCGATGTGCTATATTGGTTCGAAGGGTTCGAGTTGTTACGAGCGTTGATGTCCTCCTCCTCCTGCTCCTTCCTCCTCTTCCTGCTCGTTCTTGTTGCCAGTGCTGGCAAGTATTGTTCATCATGAGCCGAAACCAAAAGCTCTATAAACCGTAAAGGAACTTATGGAGGAGCTGCACCCTCCTTGTCTTGAGCTGCCGCCGTGGCCTTGAAGATGCTAAAGTCTTGGTTTAGGGTCTATGGGGCCCCTTGACTCGCTAGGGGATCAAAGCGCGGAACCCCCAAGGGCCCAGAAGACGTAAAGAGGCCTGATCCCAATGAAAAAGTCCAGGCCCATGAAAGCCCCGGACCCCAAACTCCGACACCCCGAACCCGAGACCCTAAACGCTAAACACTTTGCCCTCTCCCTGCAGCCCGAGTTCCTTTTCTGCATGCAGGCCTCAGTGCCATGCGCATTTTCCTCCGAAGTCGAGGAAATCCTGATAGTCGCAAGGAGGCTACTGGAGGGACCATAGTTCAACAAAAGTTTGGGTTTTTCGGGCCTAGGGCCTCAGAGCATAGGCCCAGTATGGTTGAGGGCTCGGGCTCTATGGTTGAATTATGGCCTTGGGCTCAGCTGTGGTCGTGGTGTCTTGCCATTAGCTGATGTGGGAGTTTAGGATTTCAGCCTGATTGTGTAGCGCCTTGAGAGAGCACTAGTCACCAGGTTTTTTCTGAGATTTGAGGGTGGGATCAGGGATGTTATTGCAGACCTTACGGAGGAGGATCTTCATAGCAAAAACGAGCAAAAAACATCAGAGCGGCGTCCGTTGAAAAGCGCCCCATTTCCTAAACCTGTAATCCTGCGCCTTGAATCCTTAATCCTGACGCCTGAACGCTAAACCCGTAATACCTGAACCCTGAATCCTGAACCCTAAACCCCAAAACCATCTAGGAGGTGCAAACTCGAATCTTTCCAGAAGGATCCGCTGTCAAGCCTGAGCCTACGCCCCAAAGCCTGCGAACCCCCCCCCCCCCCCCCCCNNGAAGGTCCCTAAACCCCTAAACCCCTAAACCCCTAAACCCTAAACCCCTAAACCCTAAAGGTCATTATCAGCCCGAAGATGGTCAAAGACATGGCCGCACAGCTCGGAATACAGAAGAGCCCAGGGCACTACTGGTACTGCATCCTGGCCATAAACATCTACGGGCATCGAGAACTTAGGGTTTAGGGTTTAGGGCTTTGGGGTTTGGAGTTTAGGGTTTAGGGCTTTGGGGTATATTGAACATGTTTTGCTATGGTAAGATGACTTTGTAGCAGTTCAAGGCTCGGCTGTTTTCAACGGAATAGGGCGTTGCTCTGGTCACTTGTCAGTCCTAGTGTTCTGGGAGTTACTGACTTAGCGGTTTTGAAGCTCAACATAAACCCTAAACCCTAAAATGTGTTTATCCTCAAGTTTTGCATTCAAGTTCGGCAGCCATGAACCAGATCAGAAGCCCTGATGGGTTTCAGTCGGCCGACGCTTGGTGCCGTGCTCTGTGATTAACCGCTAAATTATACACTTGGGCTCAGTACTATCCAAAGTACTGTAGCACCTTTGTCGCTTCATCATTTACTGATCTGGCCATGTCCAGGGCACATTTACAGACTAAACCGTGTAGGTGGATTCCTAAACTGAAGCCCTACATGACCTCTAACCACTTGAACCGGGTCTCTGAGGCATGTTTGCCTTGCGGTATCCCCTGGCATCGGAGTGGGAAGCAGTGGTGCGAGAAGATACCCGCTGGTACCTGAATCTGCAGCACGACACGGCTCAGCCCATCCACCCCATGATCAAGAAGTGCTTGGGCAGCAACGAGTAGTTCTTACTGTTCCGGTGCGCTGGCGAGTGGGCTCACTGATCACTATTGACCCACCCACCTAAGAACAGCAGACCAAGAAGTCTCGCCTACAGACTTAATCTGCTCCTCCGGCAGACAAGACAGCCCAACGCAGCAGCAATTCCATGCAGACCTAGTCTGATGAAAGCCACTTCATCTTCGACTAAGTGCCATCAGCCCAAGTATCCCTCACTTCAGCAAGACAGGCCCATGTTTCGCAGATCTGGTGATCCTTAAGCTCGAAGCAAAGAAAGCACCAAATCCACAGGTTTCGGGAACACCTGGGCGATGTCATCGCCAACGAGTTCCTCTGGGACTTCCGTGGATTTGTGAAGATGAAGTGCAGTGACTCCCTGGCACATGTCCCTGCTTACTCCGAGGAATTGGCGCTGAGAAGTTCTGAGGAGGTGATAAGTTGTCGACCGGTTCTCCTCTTCGCCCGGGTTCCTGGTTTAGGGCCACAGCCCCTTGGCCAAGGTGAGTGCGGACTTCCAGACTCAGTGGTATGGTGCCAGCAGTGTACTGACTACTTTTGTGCTCCTTGCTTCCTTCAAAGTGCCTTGGCTGCTTGACCCCAACCGTTCAAAACCGTCTACCCCAAATTCACGAGAGGGTGAATCTGTGAGAGTTTTGGCCTGCACTCTCTAGTTATCCAAGGAATGACGAAGGGTTGCACTGAGAATGGGTCCTTTCACTTCATTGTGCAGCCTTTTCGAAACAGTGTCTCCGAAACTCAACTCAGAAAGAATGTGACCCCAGAACCCCACGGAATCATTATTTGTCGCATCGAGCACAGCTTCTCGAGTTATTGCCTACAGGCTGCAACCACCCTGGGATAGTGCTACCCTACCGCCGCCTCTGCCTGTCAGGTCACAAATCTCGGCGGGGTCGAAAGCACTGGCCACTTCCGGCTCCTCTTCTGGAATGCGGATTCTAATTTGGAAGCTCCGAATAGTACAGGGGCCTGAATAGTTACACTATTTTGGGGGTTCCTTATTATAAGTACAGTATATCATGATTATGCCCTAAAACACTGTTCTTACTACTAGGGCGTTACTAGGGCCCCTCTCTGAATTACTAATCCTTCGGCCGATGGCTGCGCACTGCGCAGCTACGGATGCTTTCGCATCTCACGTTTTCTGTGGCGCTTGCAGGGAAAGAAAAGTTTCGATTTTTCTTATACAAGGCTTTGGGGTAGTAGCATTATAGCCAATGCGAGGGGCGTGTGCGGTATCAACAGTAAAGTCTTCGTTACTACGACTAGCTTTGCCACGTACTCTACTCTGGGTGGTTTGAAGGGAGAGCCTCACCGCAATGGCAGGTGCCGGGCTGCAGATACCTCACCGTGCCAGAGACACGCCGTTTCGAAGAGCAGCTGCCGCTGTTGCGCCTTGGCATCCTCCATCGCCGGGTCTCTTACAAGTCATTGGAGGTCATTACAGCAAGGATTCTCATAGTTGGGGTTTATATTGAGAACCATTATCGGTTGAGATTTGCAAAGGACCCTGGGTCATGGGCTGAGGGCTTTCGGTGTTGTGTTTGGGAGAGGCTGAAGTGTACGGCGGTGTTGTGTGCCGAGCGTTGCATCCCAATAGACTACGGTTTGACAGGTAGGGCCGGGTAGCCGGATAGGAGGTCTTCACAAGGGCTTTGAGGTATGTTTGTTCAGCATCTTCCGCCGGCTGGCGGGCCTAACCTAATGTTTGAAAGTGTCAGTATGCAGAATATGACAATTCATAACATGTACCAGGAATGCGCGAGAAAAGCTGCAGTGAGAATGTGCTGGATGAGTTGTCCCTTTTCCTCTTCCATGAGTTGATGGTCGAGGAATGTGGGCTTCTCCAACCGACGGCGATTCCTGGCGCGGGACAACCAGCACCTCAGCTGTAGCCGGGCGTTGGTAGAAACCTAGGTGGAGACCTTCATCAGTCTGGACTGCGAGACCTGTTTACTTTCTCCGTGTTGTCAACTGTCGTCCGGCAGAGTTTAGGGACGCACACATCCGCCGCGTGTTCACGCCATGTGTCCTGAGAGGGAGCCTACATACAGTTATTGCATTTCATTGCATTGTAAAGATGGGGAACATGAGTATATGCATGAAGAGAACTGAGAAGGACGATGATGCTATGAAAATGATCGTCTCGGTGTTTGTGTGAATGATAGAGGACGACCTCGGTGAGCATTTCCGCTGATTCTGATGATGATGCATCACCATGATAATCACCACTTCTCCTTGTGATGCCATCCCCGAACTAGATGCGCCTCTCATGGCGACCGACCGGCAAGACGGGAGCATCTGCTTTCGTTCAACCCTGCGTAGTAAACTAGTATTCCAAATCACTGCGGATGTTTCAAAAGTATGCAAACGGCCCCAAGCTCCGTGCGCGACTCACTGTACGTTGTTGGTTTTGCACAAGTGGTTCGGCACAAGGTCCGACAAAAACGGCGACCGAAGCGGAGATACCTGGCTTTGGTTCCACACAGACACCTTCCAGGCCTATAGATGTCTGGTTTGGGGCAGTTTAGGGTTGAGGCTTTAGGGTTTGTAGGGGTTAGGGCTTCGTTTGGGGATGGGAGTTGCTGGTAGTAGTCTTTGGTTTAGGGGTTCCAAGGGCCAAGCGGTCCCCAAACCCGCAGCAACCCTGAGAGCCCTAAGCACCGAGCCCTCTTGTCGTAGCAGTACAGGAATGCTTGTACTACCCTTAACAGGATCCTTAAAGCACATATTTAGCTAAGCTTGTGACATGAACCGTAAGCCAAGCCTTGCCGCGGCGTTTCAAGGCTGCAGGGTGGCACCGGGATAGCTTTTGTAGACTGAGACCCATACCCGATGACCTTACCCCCGACAGCATTCTCGCAAGCCGAGCCCACTTACAAGCTTCCCTCCTCCGCCGCCTCCTCCTCCTCATCCTAAGCTTGTTGCTTACCCATAGGCTCCTAAGTAGTCCCTTTTTTGTGGTTCATATGTAGAATCCTATAAGGTAATCCCAAAAAGGAACTACTTAGGAGCCTATGGGTGAGCCCTTAAATTCCAAGAGAGGCCGCCCTCATGCAGACCCCAGAGAACCACTGGTGTCTGAAGCGGCGTGAGCCGCCTCGGTTGCCTCCAGGCCCGCTCCTGAGCCTCAGTGCTTGGTAGCAAGGCGGTTTAAAAAACAAAAAATTAAGGTTTATAGGGTGTTTGGGCTCAGGCTCTATAGGGCTCAAGGTTGTGATCATTATAGTTCTGGGTGGGACTCTCGCATTAATAGGAGTCCGGGGTCCATGTTCTTCCCGAAAGTTTTCGGATCCTTTGATACGGCTGTGGCGCCCACAAGCCACTTGGTCCGGCATGGAGGAGGGGGAGAGCTTACGGCCTCAGAGCTTGGCATCGTCATTGCAGCACACCGTCGGTGTGGTAGATCGAGGCTCCATTTTCGGAACAGCAAGTGAACCTAAAAAAAACAGGGTGCGACCTCCCTTGCGGAAGTTGCGCTTGCCGGGACTTCATGAAAAGATGCCCATCGTTTGCGGCATGTCGAATCCTTTTGACTCTCTAGGTGTCGATGGCTACTTCTACAACTTCGCTACAGACACTGTGGCGGATGATGTGTCTTACATCCTCACGTCGCAACAAGTACCTCGCCTCAAGTCGTGGTTGCAGGAGTTTCTGTGAGAGCTTTCTTTCAGAAGGACCGCCCAGACAAAAGCAATGTTCTACACCCGTATCGTTTGGCGCGTAGGCTTATGCTGGGAATATTGGGCGAGCAGGATGGACTCATGAAAAGCCTACGGAAATCTCCCCAAGTCTCTGTGTTAGTCTGTTAGTCAGCCCCCATGTCATTCAAAAGCCCTACAGCGCCCCCAAGCCTCATACTCTGATGTTCCCCAGGCGGCTTAGCCCCCAAAGCCTAAGCCGCCGAGGAAGCGCGTGCGGTGGCACTCATGCAGCGCCACATCCGCGGAGCCTTGACCCGTAGGCCGATCTCTAGCGTATCATGAAAATCATATACTACTCGCCAGGGTTCTTGGATATATATGTATACTATAGTAGACGGTATAATGCCCCAAAGCCCTACTCTGAAATTAAGGCCCCTGTATTATGGGTGTTGAATCAGTATGTTCGTTCGTTCCATGGTTGTTGCACGTACGACTTTCCTTTGCTATAGGGGTCGCAGCTTGGCTTTCATCTTGGGGCAGATGAATTTTGAAATGGGGACCCCAACCCTAGACCTCAAGTGTCATGCCTCTGCGGCTTGCAATGTAAGTGCTATTGGTTTTGGTGGGGCGTGCCAGACGTGCCACCTGTTACAAGAGCCCACAAACTCGGGGCGAAGACCTGAACCAGAAGCAGTTTCAGCTGGCATCCTCTTTGCTAGGCATGCAAGTTTATTCTTGCATTAGTAAAGCACGGGTCCTCTTGCTGTTGCTGTTGCTGCTGCTGCTGCTACTACTGCTGCTGTTGGCGTTGGCATTGGCATTGTGGCTGGTGCTGGTGCTGGTGCTGGTGCTGGTGCTGGTGCTGGTGCTGGTGCCGGTGCCGGTGCCGGTGCCGGTGCCGGTGCTGGTGCTGCTGTTGTTGTTGTTGTTCTCTTCTTCTTCTTATTGTTGTTGTTGCTACTGCTCGTGCTTATAGCTAACAGGTCTCAGACCAACCCTGCAACATAGAGAAGCCGAGCAGCAAAGTGCAAATCAATGAATCCTGTAGCACCTGAAAACCCAGAGGAAACCGTAAGTCCCCGAAAACGAGTGCTGGAAGCTTCGGAAGGCCATGGCTCACCCCCCTGAACCTGCCCAGTTCTACGCCCATGCGCTGCCCCAACACTAGCACCTTGCTTTGGGCTCCTTATAACAAGGATCCTACTATTTAGGGTACTATATTAGGGTCCCCTATTGCAGCTGAAGCCTTTAGTTCCCCTATGGCGGCCAATGATTTCAAGGGCCCCCCCATACCCCCAAGCCTTTGCGAAAAGTCCATCAAGCCGAAAGGGCGATCAAGAAGCAGACCACTGCATCTCTGATCTTTCAGCCACTTGTGCGGCCATGTGAGAGGGTTTCTCTGCCTGGTTGTGTTATCATGTGTAGGGACTCCAGTAGTAGCAGCAGCAGTAGTAGTAGCAGTAGTAGTCGCCGTCGTCGGCGCCGTTGTCTGAGTACTAGCCGTCGGCGGGATCGTCGCCGTCCGAGTAGTAGCGTATAGGGAGTTATTGTGGTAGCGGCAGTTGCTGCATGCAGTACCCATGCCGTTGTCGTGTACATTGGCCGGTGCACTGCTCGGTACTTTGAGGAAGACCAAGATGATGTGGGATGTGCAGCGCATTCACGGCAGCAGCGGCAAGAATGCCGGCATTATCAAGGCACTGGTGGTATTATGCTATTCAGTTTGGTTTCTGACATATTGTTACATCCTGTACCCTTCGTCTTTTTGTTGGAAAGATGGTTCTGATTCTTGTCTTCCTTTTGACAGTTTGACCGAGACAGGTATCGCTGCAGCCTCTCCTCAATGAAGATCTGTGATAGCTTGGGGAACCATAGGGAGGTTCACAGTTTTCAGATTTCCGGAGTGCTTGCAACATTGGACATAGATCGGGCAATCACCTCAAGCAAGAATCCCCGGCCCTAGCGGCCCTAGCCCAAACCTCAAGGCCCCAATGCATCCCGAAACTTGCATTTACTATAAAAAAGCACAAGCCGCATGGCCTCAAATAAATATCCACTTGTGAGCCCGCTCCTCCAGAAACCCAAAGTTGCTTAGGACTGGGGGGTTTAGTTTGTCAGGGCTCTCGTTTTCAGGGCTTTGCGTCGAAACTGCAGGCATGGTTCAGAAAGCACCGGGCGCGCGAGAAGAAGGAGAGGGTCCAATACAGCGCGTCCAGGATCCAGGCAGGGATTCCACGGATTGGTTTCATTAGGACACGACCGGTTCCAGTGTTCGGTAGATGTCTCTGTAGTTGGACCAGGTTAAATGTCAATAAGAGCATGCACACTTATGCGTCGATTACGCATGTGTGTAAGTAATTGTAAGTATGCATATTCAGGTTCCACACACACACACACACCGATGTATACACATATTATGCATACATATATACACGTATACACACGGAGACCTATCAAACCTGTCATCGCCATCACCATCACCATCAACAACACGTTTTACTGAACAAGCTAATCAGCATCATCATCCTCGCACGACATCATCCCCCTCATGATCGAACTTGGCTTGGATGAAAGTCTTGTTACCGGGAGGGTTTTCAGCATGTGGCTTGCAACCACAGTGCACGGTTGCTAGCGTCTCTGAATGCTTGTTCTCAACAAAATGTGCCCATGGAAACAAGCTGCTACAGACGTATGCAAACTTGTGTTGCACTGCACCCAGCTATATGATTTTCCTTTGAGGCTTTCGTGCGCGCACGTGTCGCACGGGCTTTGTTTTTGGCTGATTTTGTTGTGCAGGCTTGCCTGCCTGTCTATCAATCTTGTTTATTGTTCCTGTCTCTCTCTCTCTCTCCCACTCCATCTCTGTCTGTCCCTCTCCCTCTCTCTCTAGATGGAAATAGTACCAGGTAGGTAATCAGGTATGTAAATACTTAGTTGGGTGGGTGTATACACGGACTGTCCGCAATTGTATGTGCGTACATGCACCTGTGTGTCTGGGTGCATCTGAGCACATGCTCTGTCTTGTGTTCTTGTTTGATGATGTCGTGGTTTCTGCGTTGCATTCAAGCTTGGGGACAAAGTTAGCTCTCCTTGCAGAGATTGTAGCACAGATGTCCTTGAGCATTGTCTTCTAGGGAGGCAGGAAGGCAGGCGTGCAGTGAGGCAGGCAGCTGATGGGCAGGGAGCGTCCCAGCAACTGTCGAAATTTCTTCGACGATGTCGACCTCTTGCAACATACTTCCTGCCAGAGCTTTGGACACCCTGGCGGATGAAGCTCAAAAAGCAACAACAAGTAACCGTGTGGTTCAACTCAACATTGCCCCACTGCCACACAGAGAGCTCCGCTCCACCAGCAGCCGTGAAGATTTGCTTTTCCTCCGTCCTGAGGCCATCTGGCGCGGGATCCTGACGCGGCGGCGGACACGTAGCAAGCTGGCCAGTACCACCCGCTTCCAGGCACGTCTCCGAATTCCTACATCGTCCTACATGCTGAGTTTGGAAGTGGGAAGAGAAACCCTAACCCCTAAAACCCTAAACCCCTAAACCCTAAACCTTCCGCCCGAGTTAAAAGCCAGGTGCTTCTCGGGGGCTGTGGAAATAGCAGCACACTATGCAACGAGCACAATCGGCATCTGAATCTTGGAGACTACGACTTACAGCCACAGAGACATGGTGTTGTTTCCTACTATGGCTCGACAAGCAATGTATGATCCTACACTTAGCCCTGCAACTGGAACAACTGGATAGCTCTAGTTTGCGATCGGCAAGAAAATCTTAGAAACGCACACTACCCAATATCTTCGGTCCGCTTTGATCCCTACATGTTCATACGCCCGACAGCCTGCGCATTGTCTCGGCATTCAGGCCTCCTGGCGAGCCTTCGCAGACAGAAGGAACCTAGAAGTTCGGTGGGCTGCGATCGTCTCCATCCAGAAGGCGAGGAAAGACGCGGCTGGCTATAAACTACTATTACCACCACCACCACCACCACTACTACTACTGCTCCTGCTGCTGCAAGTACTATTACCTACTACTGGCACCACCACTACTACTACTACTACTACTACCACCACAACCACTACCACTACCACGACCACTACCACGACCACTACCACCTACTCCTACTACTACT